CAGAGAATTAAATATGCCTAAAATTTTCTTTTTTTTTCAGATGTACGTAATTTATAAATTCACTTTCATCTCCTTCCCCCCACCCCCTCCCCCCCAACTAAAATATCTCAGGAAATAAAAACTGCTTGTATTAGATGTCCTCGCTACCATAATCTGTCATTTGGGAGGAAATTTAGTGGAATTTCCATGCGTCAAACAATAAAATTCATTCTTACTCTGGTATTCAGAAAAGTTAACCCATTCAGCTTGGAACATGTTAAATAAGTTGTCACCCACACTGGGTAGCAAGAGGGGAAAGCGATTTTTGCAAAAAAAAAAAAGACGTAACAACGTCAACCTATTAATGATGGGCCAATGCTGGTTCCGGCAACGGAGACAATACTGGACAGAACAATTGCAATGCCAATGCGTACGGATGCATTCGAGGTCGACATGTTTTCCAAATGTGTTATTAACGCCTGCAACGCTCCTTTGCTATTTTCACAACCGTGGATAGCCACTTTAAAAAAATTAGTTAAATTAAAAACTGATAAAATGCAGTAAGAAGTGCTAATTTCCAAACGCCAAGTTCAAAAATCGCTTTTTTTTTCTGCCTTATTCATCTACAGCTTCTCGCTTTTTCGCTTTTTTTTGTAAGCACTTCATCAGTTATTAATGAGGCTGTCGGTAGAAAACATTAAAAAATGGAAATATATGGTTTGAATTACAGCGGCGATAGAAGTTACCTGAATAACAAAGCTTGGATCCTTTACGCTGTACATTATGGCACGAAACGTATAAACCGCAAAAGAAGGAGGAGGATCCCATTTTTTATGCAAATCACAGTGTTTCAGGACTGGGTCCAGAACCGAAACTAGGCCAAATGGTGCTTTCGCCATCAGTTCACTGCAATATTTGGGGTAAGGTGTCATAACAGGATTAGGAACAATGAAATTTCAGTTTTTATTTTATGACAGAAGGTGTCGTGGACCCAAGACGTGTACATACCAATGAGAAAAACCAAAACCATCAAAATCTTCTGAGATACTGGCATGTGGAAGGCATGGAACAATCGTAGGCGCAACTGTGCAAGGCCCTTCTCTCCCGAAACGCGTTTTTTTAGCTGACAGCCGCTGCCTCAACGCGTGTCCACGTTCTCTCTCAAAAAACCGTTCAAGCGGTATTTTCCCTTTGAGCGAGTATCACTTGTACATCAACCGGCAGCAAGGCGAAAACAAGCCTTAAATAAAAGGCCAACGCACGGGCTGCCTGTGCGAAGACGCGTTTTTTGCATAGCTCCCCGCAAATTTCGCTAACGGCACTGGTTTTTCCGACACATGGTTCTAGCTAAAAGAATTTCAGACTGGCCGCCAGGACTGTCAGGAAACATCCCCCAAAATTCCATTCTTCTAGCTTCTCACGTTCTCGAGTTAGCAACTTACCTGGAAGAAACTTTTACGGCGTAAGTATCACGCTTACCCACGGGCAGGGTTTGAACTCGTTAATACCCACTTGGACGGGGAACATCACCCTAAGATTTCAGCGTTCTAGCTTCTCAGGTCCCAGAGTTATGAACTTACCTAAAAAAAATTTGGCGGGCCCGTACGCGGGTACCACGCTTACCTAGAGGATGGATTTCAATGCATTAACACCTACTTGGACGGGAAACATCCCCTTAAGATTTCAGCATTTTAGCTTCTCAGATCCCCGAGTTATGAACTTACCCGAAAATTTGGCGGGCCCGTACGCGGGTACTACGCGGGTGATGGCGCCCATTTTGGGGACTGGGGCCGGCACGTGCATGTAGATTAAATTTCCGAAATTTGAGCCTTGCAGCTTTTGTAGGTCTTGAGATGAAAGTGCGTGACAGACGCACACACAGACACACGGACACGCAGACAACCCCTCGTCAATATGCGTTTTTGCATTGCATAGCTG